CCTCTCTGCGCCCTGCTCAGAGTCGGAACCCTGTCCAGGGTCCTTCACATCCTCCAGAGCCGACTCATAGGGGCTCCTCGCTGTCGGAGTCTGGTGGCAGCTCCAACGGCTCCTGCTGGGCCACAACAGCTATCCTTCTAAATTCAGCTCCTTTCAGACCTAGAGCCTTTTGAGGGATGAATGCCAGATATCTGTTTTAATTCTCCAAATGAGATATCGAAAGAGAAAATATGCCCCTGTTAGGGAATGATAAAGGAAGGTTTCCTCAGATACTTCACACAACTCTAACAGAAACTTATGGGAATCCATTCAATCTTTTTTCCCCCAGAAGTTCTGAATTTTTCAGAAGCCCGAGAGGCATATTCAAGAACCTGATTTTCCCAAAGCAGCTGCCTTCATTGGAGCCTTCCTGAGTAAAGCTGGAGTCGTCTGAAAATAAAAAACAGGCTCATTTTTGGCAGCTAGTACAAAACGTTTTGACCACGGGCAGGCTTTGTTTATACATCCACAAAACAATTTTCCTCCAGGAACAGAGCTTTTGAAAGAGAGTTGTCACTAGCTTTCCTGTCAACGTAACATCATCGTACCACTTTAAAAGGAAACAGACTGACATTTACCAGAGCATATCAGACCAGTAACACATATATTTTGACTCTGAGGGCTTCTGAACTTATAATTACTGCAGCCTGTTTACTGCCTATGTAGCAGTGACATAATTATCTTCTAGCCTCAGTTGTGGGCTAGGAAAGGGACCGGAGCATCTTCAACTCTCTGCAATCATATGTGAGCTTGGTTAGAAATCCCTTACGTGTGCATTTTAAAGCCACCATTGGTTTTATTGTAATTTTTTTGTTCAACCGAGGGTCTGAGCTACATTTCATCAAGATGTGGGTGGAGGAGGAGGTGGAGGGGGGAGATGCAACGAAGATGGAGGTGAAAAGAACAGGCCACATAGAAATAAGGAGAAATTTAAGATCCAAATGGGAATAAGAAAACTCTGGGTGGACAGCCTCAGACAAGAGCCACATTCTTCCCATTCACTTTTTAAAACTGATTTTTGCTCTTTTCTTCTTTCAAAAATCATTGCCGTTACCGCTCTAGCTAAAGTTTGTGACATTTGCACTTCAGCATTCGAAGAAGAAGGCAGCCTTGCGNGAGATTAGAACCGCTGAACTGCAGATAACAGTCAGCTGAAGTGGCCTGCAGTACTGCACCCTAACCACTGCGCCACCTCGGCTCTTCTAAGTTAAGTGAATTGCTACAGTTATTGCTACAGTTATTAAGTGAATCATACAGTTGTTATGTGAATCCACTTTCCCCCACTAACTTTGTTTGTTGGAAGCCAGTTGCGAAAAGCCAATCACAAGTACTTGGGACATTACTACACTTATAAATACATGCCAACTGCCAAGTACCTGAATTTTGATCACATGACTGGGGATATTGGGGTTGTCGTAAGTATGAGAACCAGTCATAAATCACTTTTTTTTTTAGTACTGTTGTAATTTCAGTCACTAAACAATTGGTTCAAAATCAAGGACTGCCTGTACTCACATCCATGCTTACTAAAACCCACAATTGTACTACAGAGTTGATCAGTTCTATATACTTTGTTCAAACTTGGCATTAAAGTATCAAGATCTGAATCTTGAAGTTAGATATCAAAATATCAGTGGACAAAGATGCTTCTTAAGGAGCTATCACATCGGAGCATTGGGGGTATAGTATTTCAACTACAAGATCCCTGATTTTCCTTCTTATCACTTCAGCAGTCTCTCCCACGTTATCAGAAATACTGTACTGTACTGATCTGGATCAAGTTTATTATTTCATTATTAAAGAACAAAAAATAGAATAAAATATTCTACTGACATAAGATGAAGAATGAATAGTGACATTGTCTCCTGAAAAAGTGGCAGTATAGCTATTATTAATATTTGAAAACTTGTAGCAAGTATTTTTCCACAAACTGCCTTGATAAGTTCCTCACCGTGACCCGACAATTGCGCGATAGACATATCCGCGCCGAGAAAATAGTGCCGATTAAAACTCGACGTCAAAATTGCGCCCACAAATTCGCGACGACAAAAGCGCGATGACAAGCACAAAACGCTTTTATTTTTTCACTTTCATTTTTTGCGGTATTGGGAGCGTGCATGTNCAGCTGGCATCCGACAAGCAAAGTCATTGGGGAAAGCTGGATTCACTTAATGACAGGTGGTGCACTTAACAAGCACGGCGATTCATTTAACTGCAGCAAAAAAACGGTCATAAAATCGGGCACGACTTACTTGGTGACCCCCATTGCTTAATGATGGAAGTTTGGGTTCCATTTGTGGTTAGTAAATTGAGGATGCCCATCCATTCTTACCACTTTCCTTTCCCCCCCCCCAGTAAACTGAAGTTTTGCAAAATACTGTTGTGATTGATGTCTAGTAAGAATAGCCAGGCAGAATAAATGGGAGCCAGGAAAAGACGTCCCATTCATCCCACTATGAAATAGTTTGTGGGAAAGGGAACAAAGTGCCTTTTCAAATTCTTTGTATCTCTAATTCTGTGATATCACAATGCACATATAATAGGGGAGGGACTTGCATGACACTGCTTGTGCTGTTCAATCCCCTAAACTCAGATGGTGTTTGACTTTGCATTGTGGATTTTCTACCTCACCCACTTACACTGAGCAACAGGGACTTGTGGGGTCCACTTTGTCTCTTTATTTTTGAATGTTTCTTCCCCAGAGCAGCCTTCCCTAACCTCGTACCCTTCAGCTGTATTGGATGTGATTCCTGTAATTCCCAGAAAAGAAAATCTGTCTTGGAAATACAATTGAGAGTTACTGACAAAGTCAAGATATTGTTTGCATGGTAGAATGTCATCGTTTTGATTTGTGACAAAGTATAGCATCGTCTCTTTTTGTTTTAAATTCATCCCAATATGCGTAGCCATTGTTCATAACGCAACAGGCTCAACTAGTTAAAACTCCAGCCTTCATAAGATTAGCCGTCAAGACTGTGTGAACACTGTAATCGAGTATTTGGTATGGTACACGTTTCACATCTTTGCTGAAGTCAATCAAAGTTGTCTAAACTGGTGACCGATTCTTAAAATATAGGCCTAGCTCAAATCAGAACACAGAACTTTACTTTTAAAATTGTTTGTTGAGTGAGTCATGCCCGATTCTACAATCTTTTTTTTTTTTGACACAGTTAATAGCAATAGCAATAGCAGTTAGACTTATATACCGCTTCATAGGGCTTTCAGCCCTCTCTAAGCGGTTTACAGAGTCAGCATATTGCCCC